CACTGCCAGGTCAGATTCATTGTCAAAGACTCAAAACTTTCTGATTCCTTTCTCATAGGGTATGATTACTTGATTAAAATATTGACAAGTCACACAGAAGGATACATATATTTTAAGGAATGATAATTGACTTTAAGGACTATGGCTTTTGAATAAATTATATGGGATTCATCTCCTCTTCTTGTGACTGCAACAACTGACGGGAGAAGACTCACATTGACAGTGGGATCGAGTGCACCCTCAGTGAGTTTTCAGATGACACAAAGCTGAGCAGCACAGTTGACATAACAGAAGGACAGGATTCCATCCAGAGGGACCTGGACAAACCTGAGAAGTGGGCCCACAAGAACCTCATGAGGTCCAACAAGTCCAAGGGGCTGCACCTGTTGGGGCCATCCCAGACATGAGCACAGACTGGGAGAGGAACTCATTGAGAAGAGAAGAGCTCAGAGGTTTTTGTAGAGGAAAAGCAGGACATGAACCACAGGGTGTGCTCACAGCCCAGAAAGCCAACTGCATCCTGGGCTGAATCAAGCAGGCAAGATGAGGAACAGATGCTATGGAAACTTCCATATTGCATTTCAGCAAATTATTTCAGTCTAAATCTTGTGATTTAAGCCGATGCAATAATTGTCAAACTTTTCATTTGGCAATGAGTAATGAGGATAAAATTTACCTAACTGTAGTACAAGGATGGAACAAGGAAATCAATGACAGTAAGTGAATAATCAGGGAAAGATAAACTGATCATCCTTTTTTGTTTTTTCAGTAAATGTCTGTTTTCTGAAGTAATTTTCAGAGTTCAGTTGCCTTAGCTTTAAATGTCAAAAACAATGGAGTTTCACAAACCTCCTTTATGACACTACATTTTTCCTTGAAGATTTACTGATGGTGAAAGGTGATGGCACAGCTCCCCTGCTAACACAATACAGAGCTGCACACAGAGGCTGTCTCTGACATTGTACTGGCCACTCCCATGCCTGTGCAGTCTCCTCCAAAGTCTTTGAACTTACAGTCTGAAGGCCAAATCCTGACAAAGATATTCATCGTGAATGCTACCTTAATTACCTAAATTATCTGTTTCGGTCATCTTGTCTCTCCTGGGGAGTGGCATCTCACTCTTTGTTTGACCCAGTAACATTGAATGCAAATATTAGTCCATCATTATGGTGCTTTAAACAAACAAGCATTATGGTGCTTTAAACAAACTTCCTAAATGCGTTGAAAGAGGCATGGTGTAAATATGAGTGCAGACAGGGAGGCTGCAGAGGGGCTGCTGGAGCACCTAGCAGTCCTAATGGTTACTCTAAGCAGTTCCTTTCCAGCACTTGGCTTTCCTGACTCATCCCATTGTGTCTCAAGGGAGCAAGAAACAATAGAGGAAGCTGTGACAACTCTCTTAGGTGCCCTAAGTAATGTCGACAATCACAGAAAGCTTTTTGACTGTTCCAGTTGCTAATATGGGCTGCCCAAAGAAACTATTTGAAATTGCCCCAGAAAGGATTTTAAGTTTGCTTCCATGTTGGTAGGACTATGCTTGTCTCTTTGCAGCAGCCAACAATATTAGCAGGATTTGTATACAATCCCTGGGGTGATGGAAGATCCATGACAATTCACACCGTCAAGGGTATGATTTCATAATAGTTTCTTATTGCCTAATATCTGTCAAATACCTTCAATTATTTACTTCCCTGAAATGTTACTCCTGAAAGTAACACATATTGTTTTCAGGCTATGTAAGGATAGGATAAGTTTATGGATGGAAAGTTGAATAGTAGCTCCTGGTTAAATGTAGTCTTCAGCTGTGTCCTGCTCAGTATAGTTTGAAGAAATGACAATCTAGAAAAATGTTATGTTTCAGAAGCTATTCTGAATAATTTATTGCCCTTGGACACAGAGCTGGCTGTGTGCACAAACACCGTATCAAGTTTGATAAGAAGACTTGAAGTTAAACAAGCAAGGAAAAATGGCTGAAGGTGCCACTTCAGAGCTGCAAAAGAATCTCTGGTCAGAACTAACCAAATAATCATAAAATTATTTAGATTGGAAAGAACCTCTAAGAACATTTAGTCCAACATTAGCCTAAGTGTTTGGGCAGAACTGTATTGGGCATTAAATGTACTGCTGATTACAGACAGACACCTGACAAAGAAAAACAAATTCCCAAATTTACATTTTATAAGGAGGCACAGGAAATATATGTGGAACTGCTGTAAGGGTGGAAACTCGGGGACCATGCTGAATTCATAAATTGAACAGAAGTACCATTTATCTTGTACCACTCAGAAGAGGCAGAAGCCTTTGGAAAAAGAAGAAAGAGCATTTTTTTAAAGGCCATCATTATATGAATTGTTTTCAGCAGTTTCTTCCACTTGACAGAGTTGGCAGCATACACAAATTGAATTTTTTCCATCTTCCCTCTGCTTGTTTACTGCTCAGTGCACTTAAAGGTTTTTCTCTACTTATTAATTAGAATGAAACAAGAAGTTCAAGAGTTGTCAATGAAACAAGAAATCCAAGAGCGTGTAACAACTATTTAAGAGGAGATTGGGACTCTGCTTGTGGTGACTGCCTGCAAGGGCCAGCGCTTCCTTCTTGGAGAAGGTGGCTGCCTTTCCTCCTTTCTAGAACTCAAATAGGAGGTTTGCAGTCAGTAACAGGGGTATCTGGGTAGGAGTGTCCCTGCAGGATAGATCTTAAACACAGTTTCACTGGGAACTCCAGTAGCAAGGATTTAGCCAGGATCTTGTGCAGAGTGCTCTATATGATTGTTTGTATCTGTATGGCCAAAGTAATCTGTTTATTATATGATTATAAGTTTAAGGTTTAGCAATACCAGTTGCCCTTGTCAGCATTTTTACCTCATGCTGTCTTTATTTATTTGATATCTTTCCACTAGAAAGACATTTCTCCCTAACACCATTTCTAAACAATAGAAATAAATAACTTGACAGTGACATACATTTGCTTCAACCAGAGTCATGGGGAGAGATTTCAGTTTGCATAGTAATGCATGACTGCTGCTAAAATTTGAGAGACAAGACAATCTTAATATTTATTTTAATTTTTTTTTTTAATTCTTGGAGGCTTTCCTTGAATGATGCTACTTATTTTCATAGAAAAAACTCAAAACCAGGACTGCAACATTACATCCAGTTTTTGAAATGTTTTGACACATTTACTGAGATTTACTAGATAATTTCAGATGCTTGTCTGGCAATTTATAATCCATTATTTTGCACTACAAGCTGCATCCTTGAGTTTATTTTATGGCATAGACATAAAATAAACTAAATGACAACATCTCCTGGTGTCTCCCTTTTATCTATGGGAATGATCTTCAGTAAAGAAAATCCAAAGGATGTTGTGCATCCATTTTGAGATATATTATTTTCATTAATGTGAATGTTTCTGAGTAGCTGAGGAAGTAAGACTTGGCTTAGGTTAGAAGAACAATGCAATTACTTAATAAACCATGTGTCATGAGAATCAGGGTCAGTATTGCATCAAAAGTTGCACTGTTTGGGAACCATTTTTGGGCCTTGGTCTTCTAATATTATCTGCTGAGAAGAATTTCTAAAAATCTGGCTTATTTCTTTGTGTGCTGATGGGTTTCTGCAGTGAAGTTGGGATATGTATGAAATCCAGCACAAAACTCCCACTCACTTAAGGGCATAATTCGTCACCCCAAACTGGAGATATATTAGTACTAAAGGAGAGAAGCGATTAAGTAATTTACACCATAGTTTTGATGTAAATATGGACATTATAGTCCAAACTATAATCCCTTCATTTAATCAGAAATCAATGAAGCAACTCTATGTTATAAGCACTAGAAGAAAAAAGGACAACTGCAGGCAGAGTAAAATAAAACACATTGGTAAAAGACTACAGGACTACAGCCTGGTTTTCAAGGCATAGAGCAGATTTACATGAAAAATAACTTTTAAAAGATGGAGGAAGGAGAAGAGAGGTCAGAAAGTAATGCCTGACCTGCAGGTTAAGATCAGTTTGTGCTGCAAGGTCAGGAACATTGGAATTCTAAGGGTTTGGTTTTGCCCACTATTTGGAGTCACTTCTTAATTTTGTACAAGAACTGAACTTCTCCAATGATAAATGTGTTTAGCTCCAGTCATTTGGTTTGTCACCAGCCGTGAGCAGGGGGAAACCATGCTTATTGTCCAGACTAGTGACAGTTCAGCTGGGAGGCTTCTGTTCCTCCAGTTCCAATAAACAAAGTTAATTTATTCAAAGTTGTTTTGTTTTTGTATTTGTTTTGGTTTTTTTTTAATGGAAAGGTTGTATATAGTTGGATGATTTTTATTACCCAGGGTTTTAAATTTTGTCCTGAAAACTTCTGTTTTCATTTTGGCCGCTGGTCTATAGAATATCGTGATATATAACACCACAGATTAAAAAAAACCAGAAAAACCCAACCAACCAACCAACCAACCAACCAACCAACCAACCAACCAACCATTATGTACCACTCTTTAACTTGTCCTCTATATTGTTTTAATGAAATATTAGTACAGAAAACAGTTATTAAGTGGAAACAGTGCTGTGGGTTAGGTGGCTCAGTGCTACAGTACCACCACACTAAAAGCCCATTTTTCAGCATGAAGAAATATATTCTGCTCTGAGACTAAATGTGAGCTCTATCCCTTTGGAACAGTCCTCAGACTGTGTGCTGTACATGGCATGATATATGATCTTGTTGGAATGTAGGAAATGGAGCCAATGTTCCCATTTAAATAAAAAAGAAACCAGAAACCCAAAGTTTGAGGTTCAGGCTAAAAGAAGTGTGGTCAATCTGAAGTAAGATTTGTCTAATGAAAAAAACTAGTACACTTTTATTGTAGGTTTAGGTTCTTAATTTTGTGATTCACAATAATTATAACCCTATAACAATTTACACAACTTCTTTTCCTTCTATAACCAACCCTAAATGACACCACTTATTTAAAACACACTTGAAACTAAAGAGTAGCTTGTATTACCTCCAGCTCCATTTGTTTTTCTTCTTTGTCATGGTCCTTCAATGCCTTTTCAGAATGATTATTGCAGTCTTCTGAATGACAGTTGTGCTGATATTTAGTAAGTTCATGTTTAGCTTGCTTTCTTTGGGAAACATTCCTTCTCTGAAGGCCTTTGAAAAATGCCTTATACAGTGGCAGTTCTGTAAATGTGTCATGATCACCTCTGTTATCTGCTTCTTCCTCTTCAGAAGAAAAATCATCTGCTTCTGCTGCCTTGCAAATATGGAGCTTAGTGCCAGCTTCATGCGATAAAAATTCAAAATCAGAAAATGTGATAGCACATGGTTTGTGTTCTATGACTCTGATCTCATAATTTGCTTCTGGTTTCTTGTCTAAATTTTTTCCTGGGAGCGCTGGCCATTCTGTGTACATGGGAAGGTTTAAAGGGTCTTCCTTTGACATGTGCCTTGTAGAACAGGATAATTCTTCATAAAGGTGCTTTGTCTTGGGCTGGTTGATGGCACTGGCACGCTCTGCAGCCATGCCAAGTTGCAAGGATGTCTCATTGTGGTCCAATAAGGATGACACAGATGGCAAGCTAGGCTCAGATTCCAGCAAAAAATTCTGAAATTCATATGGACTTGTCTGATTTTCTGTCTTTCTTTGGTATTCTTCATACTTGGCTTCCTTTGGAGTTCCCAGGCACTTTGCAGATATAAGATAAGGTGAGCCCTGTTCTTCTTCATAGATGTTAGTTTCCATTCCAATGGGTTTCATCCATCAGAGATCAAAATCACTTCATTCTTGCTTTTCTTTATATCTGCATATGTAACCAGAAAGTATATTCTTAGTTTTCCAAAACCATGATCACACAGTCATTATTAATGCTTGGATTCTCATATTAAAACATCTGAATCCTTTCAGCTTCTGAAAAAAAAAAAAAATTAATGACAACATGATTGCAATGGAGCACTCCAGCAAAAGAAACCCTGAAACTTGGAATGTCCATATCAAATTTATTTCAAATGTACTTGTGCCTCTTCAAAAATATTTCATGTATGCAGATTAAATGAATTTAAAACATGAGAATTTTTACTTGTTTTGCTTATAGACTAGGAGAGAAATGGCAAATGCAAAAGTGTTTTTTAATTAATGACTCTAAGTTGGTTATTGACACAGCAGTTCAGAATCATTCAAAGTGATGTTAGACATATGCTTGTTATCTAAACATGCCTCTCTATTCACTGTATTTTCATTGTCTATTAAATCACTGACAACTTTTAGACTGCTCTGATAAAGCTACTAAAATGCCATAGGGAAGACTAAGGGACAAAACACATGGAAATGTCACAGGGAAAACACAGAAAAGAATATGTCAGTACAGGTGTGATTTTCTCTGTCTCAAATTCAGTGAATTGCCAGTGCAGTGCAGCACCTGCCCATTTCCAAGAGATTTGAAAAGGAAAAGGAGGAGGCTAAGAATAACAGAGAGCTTCAGTACTACATCAGAGTTGGCCTTGTCTGCTTTGAAAGTCTTAACACCCGTGCTCACACCTAGGCAGGGCACCTCCAATGCACTGGGAGAAGGGAGCAGCTGAAGAACTGATCTCGCATCACTGAGTAGCTTCTGTTCACCCATGCATGTCATTTACTTCTTGTGACAGATTGAATATTGGTAGTATTTATTTTAATGATTGTTTCAGTACTCCATCTGTGAGAGAGCAAAGCAGAACAGAAGCTTTTCAAAATAAAAAGAGAAGCTTAAGCCTTTGATATATGTGGCAAACCTGTCAATGATGAGGAAGATGTGTCAGAAGGCAGCACTGTGACTGTCAAAGTGGGAAGCAAGCAAAGTAAGATGCTGGCATGTGATGTGCCTGTCACTGCATGTGCCATAAACTGAGCAATGCACACCAGCTAGGCATATTTTAGTGCTGGTTAGTGTCTATTTTACTGTTACAGGCATGCCTTTGGTAATAGAAAGAATACTGTAACACATGTAGAAAATTTGGATTTATTGTATTGCCTTTGTCATTCGAACTGCAGCTGTAATAGATGTGAGCATGCAGCTACATACTGTTTATGTAGATCTCCTCTCAGCTATTGATAGCTATTTAAACATCAGACATTATTGTAAACTGTCTAACCTCCCGCTGGAGTCAGTGGAGAGAGAAAAATGCTTCCAGAAGGTAAATGCTCTCACTTATCTTGTTTACCTATTTTGATGTGGGAGAAGTCTCCATCCTGGCTTGACTGCCTAATACAAAACTATAGAGGATGTCTAGACAAAAAGCTTACATCAGTCATCCAGCCTTTAGAGGGACGAATAATGCCAAGAAGAATTTCAGCCCATAGCTGTGGTACACAATAATAATAGATTACATTATCTATGCATGAATGAGAGACCTACTCCTCATTTTCTCAGGTGCCTCAGGTTAGTCATCTACACAGAATTGACTTCAGTTCCAGAAAGGAGAGAACTAGTTGAGCAAAATGTCTTCAAAAAAGGAAACACATTCCCACATTTAGATGGAATGATTGGAATAACTAACTTTTTGCACAATATCTTGTACATTGTGGGCACAGTGGAAAGGCCTCTTGCCATTTCAGGTGATTATTATCTGTGCTTTGCTATGAACCATCACCTTTGCTTCTGAGTCCCTGACAAGCCAGCAGCCTGGAAGGAGCCATGCTCCCACCACACAAAGCCAGCTGTAAGCCAAAAAGTTCTGCCTGCTCTAGCAGTCTGCCCAAAGGGCAGAAAAGGAGCTTTGGCCTGGCTGCCCACATCAGGTGAGAGGGTGGATGTGTTCACCAGCCATTGCTGCTGGTGGCTGTCCCATTCTTCAGCTGATGGTAGTTCCAGAAAAAGTCTCAGAAAAAGCAGTGTTCATGTCTCCAGGTCTCCTCCAGAGACTCTCTTTCCCAGTCTTCACCCCTTCCTATTGTCACTCTTTCTTCCCATCCTTGGCCCATTCCTGGACCCTATTTAGTTTTGGTAATGCTGCCAAGCAGGATTTGCTGTGATGACATCTGCAGAAATACATATCTGTGTTCATAGTAACATCTTTGCTGTAATAAGCCAAACATTTAGCAAAAAATGCTCCAGAAGCAGTTACAGAAATTCACAGGATCACAGAACAGTTTGGGTGGGGTTGGAGAGGACCAGAGGGGGTTATCTTGTCCAACCTCCCTTCACAAGCAGGACCATCCTGGAGCACATGGCACAGGATTGTGTCTAGACACTTGTTGAATATCTACAGTGAGGGAGAGATTCCCCAACCTCCCTGCTGCCTCCCTGGCAATCTGTTCTAGTCACAGAGATTAGAACAATAGAGAATAATAAAGAAGTTATTACACAATAAAGAAGTTCTACCTCATTTTTGGGTGGAACTTCCTGTGTATCAGTTTCTGCCTTGTACATCAAATTCTGCAGTAGGCATGCCCAAGATAAGTGAATTATATATTTTTTATTTCTAGTACTTTAGGATGATGCTTTAGACTCCCAAACATGAATTATCAACCAAAATATTATATTTTTCACTATCTCTCTATATAACTCTATATTACTAGCATTTACAATCAGTACCCAACTTCTTTTAAAACTTTGCTAAGTTATTTCTCTCAAATGAGTTTTGGTTTTTACAGGATATGATGTAAAGCTGTAATTCTTACAGTTTAATTGCAAAAATCATGAAAGAGCTTTTTCTGTTTACTGGATTTGCTATTCTATTGTACTCTTTATTTTTCCTGGGATGAGACTGGAACAAATCAAGTATGCAGAAGCAGGCTGGTTTTGTGCAAGTATGGCAAGAAATCTCTGAGGAGGAAGTGGTGAGAAGAATGTCAGTTTGCCCTTGTTCACCCTGTGCAACATTATCTTTTTACTCAATCTAGCAATGACTATGAAAAACCCCACACTTTAATGTATAATATTGAATTCCATATTTATAAAAAGTGACACATAGACATTTCTAGCTCCTAAAAATGGAGCAATCTTGGCAAAGCAGAGAATTTAGAAATCCTACTCATAGCAAAATTTGTAACTCAGAGTGCTCTGAACATTCAGAACTAAATCTGTACATGTCACAAAAGGCCTCTAAGACAGTCCTGCAAAAGAATGTAATTCTCACCACAATGATGAATGTATGCACATACAAGTTCTGAAAACTAGTAATCTTTCTGGAAAAGGTCTTCAAGGCTTTATAAATAGGGAGATTACTTTCGTCTGCATATGTAATTCTAAATATATACTGAAGCATTAGCTCTACTGGTAGAAGCTAGTGTAGATGAGGATGTGGAATAATGAAAGTATATGTAGGTTTTTCAACTAAAAAGATAATTCAGAAGTAACTGTCCAACCAGAACTGACTCCAAGAAGCATTAGTAAGAGCAAAAACATTATAAAGCAACACACGGGATTTTTTTTTTTTTTTGCTAAATGTGAAATGTGTATCTGAGTGTAGCAACTTCAGCTGTTCACACACATGAGTTTAAAACTTACAAATAGAATATTGTTTATTAATTAAAACTCCTTACAAATTAGCAGTAAATTAATACAGATTTTTGATATGCCAAAAGTAGCATGCCATGGAAGGGAAGTTCTCATATGGTCTGGCACACGCAAGTGAGTATGTGAAGCCTCACAGATCAACTTCTGTGTATCATGCTCTACTGGCTTGACTCCCCTTTGCCTGAAATCAAATTATTATTATTTATTTTGTAGCATTACTCTAACAGCAAGTGTCCTAAAACAGCTTTTCAAACATGGCTTAAATTAGTCCACTTCAATACCCATTATGTATTTTGACGTTACAGAGCATGTGAATATATGTAATTTTTTCAATTTAAATTCAATTTAAATCTGAACTGACATAGTATACCAGCAAATCAAGTCCTAATCTAGGCTGGAACAGTGCACCACTCATCTAAAATAAAAAGTTTCTACCTCTCAGGCCCTAGTGCATTTTTTCCCTTTCACAATGACTTTGCTTAGTATTTTCTATTGACTTATACAATATTCCCCTGAAAAACTAAGCAAACAAAGCAAGAGAATGCAAGATGCATAGACTAAGAGAAAATGACGAGATTAGGATTTTTTCTTGATGATTATTTTACCTGTTTTGCAAGGTAACCCCATATTTTTCAATTCAGGTAATTTCCATAAGCGTAACAACAGGAACTGTGTGAGTAGCCAAAGGATCCTCCAAGCATTGGGGCAGAACAGAAAAAGAAGTGAGCAGATCCTTAACAAAAGACATTTCAGCTTCCTCGCTGCACAAGAGCTCTGTCAACAGAAGTATGTGTGAGAATCCCTGGGGCGAAAACAGCCTTCTGCAAGCATTGGCCGAATTATTCACAGAGAAAGACAGAAAAAAAGGAGAGGGGAAGGAAAAAAATAAAAAGAGAGAGTAAAAGCATGCTTCATAGGATCACCATGCACTTCTAAAAATACAGCATGACCTCATTCTTCACATTATGCCAGACCTTAACATCATGCTTTGCTTTATCACCTGGAGCACCTGGAGTCAGGTTCCCACTTCTCGAGTTTGGATGCTGTCAGATTTTGAAAAGGTAGGCAGTAAAATGCCTTTTGATGTAGTATAAAGCCAGTGTAAAGCAGTACCAAAATTAGCTTCCATGTCACTTGCAAATTTTAATGATTTTTTGCCTATGTTTCATCAAGACCTACATTTGCTGCCAAAGCTTTACAAGTCTTTCCTTTTATATATATTAATAGAATCATAGCTTGCAGACAGACTTTTGCATATGCTGCA